GAAACTTCATGCTCTAGTTATTGGGGAAAAAAAGTAGAGAGTAAAAGGCAGCATTGGTTTTGAGATATCTGGAATATCAGTTGTGGTAACACCCAATTGGCTTTAATCCTGTCCTTATGGATATGCCAACTTCTTTCTCTCTGTCCCTTTGGGCTGTGTCTAATGATGCACAAAAATTCTCTGGGACATTTGTGGCCAAGAGAGGAGCGGAACTGGCACATCTGCATGAATATATATGGCTTGATCATCAGCTATTAATGACTTTGAAATTATAATCTTTGGCATGGGAAACTGTATGAAAGTGCAAGACATCCAGGAGTTTCATTCTTCTTTTAATTAAAATCGAATTATTATACTTACATGCAAGCTACTTCTACATGAATTTGTAGCATCTAGAATGGTAACATATGACTGGTTCTGGAAAAGGCAGTATATTCTTATTTGGTTGACATGTGGGTGTAACAAGTAAGATTATCTGGAGCTTCATTAAGAGGAATAGAAGCACCAACTGTATCCTGACATTTATAATATCTTTGTAATGCAAGTAAATGGCCCGACAGAAAACCAGGGTGAAAGAGGGCGTGTCCCTGTAAATCAGTAAGCATTTAACACTGCTTTTCTGGCTTCTTCACAAAGTGGATCCAGTTTCCCATCACCTCCTAAAGGAGAAAAACATGACTTACAAAGTATATGCAAGTAAATTTATTATTCTTTTACATGTTTACTCCTTATCCTAGAACCTATAGTCCTTTGCATTCTCCCTTACAAGATTTGGACCCAGCTTGGCTCTACGCTGGTTAGCTGTGTAATCTGAGATGGATTCATCTTTGATCGGGAGTTGAAACAGAGCAAAAAGTGAATGCAGCAGTGCAGGTGGTTCAGAAGACAGAATGGCCCACTAGCCAGTACTTCACTGTCCAGCATAGCTCTAGGATTAGGACAGAAAAGATTTGTTTTGTTGGAAGAAATTTCCAGCTGGAACCTCTCAGTTCCTGGCCTGTCTGCCTTCCTTGCAAGAAGGTGAAACCAACCAAGCTGTGGTGCTGGAAATACCATTATCCTTGGCCAGTTTTATGCTTTCAGTCTACAACTCCCCAGCCCTAGAGAGGCTGTTGAATAGTGGGGAGGTGAGATGCGTGGCTTTCAGCCTTTCTCTGGAAGCCACTTGCAGAGGAGATGAGAAGACTTTAGCCCTGAACTTCTTGTCTCACCTGCAGCAAAATATGATAAAAAAATCACTCTCTGTGAGGCACTGAATTGGTATTACCTATGTTTTTCTGGGGAGGAGGGGAAGCCAAAAAACCCTAAAGAAACTAAGGCCCAAGCAAAGAAAAATATTTGCTATTTTGAAAGCAAAAGGATGCCCTAATACCTTTGTGGAATGTAACCCAGGGGGTTTTATGATTGTGTGCTGGTGCATGCAGGAAGGCACCGAATGGTGCTCTTGCAACCATGGCCTTAACTCCCAAACCATCCTCTCTTCCTGGCTGTGCCCTTTCAACTGCCTCAAACATAAAGGAGTGCAGAGCTTAAGTGTTAATGTTGACAGAACCTAGACTGTTTATGCCTTAGGAACTGCTCATTTCAAAATGTAAGTGCTTCCAGAGAGATGCTACGATGAATAAAACTTGGTACTTGCCAAAATCCAGGTCATTGATGTTGCACCGAAATACAGTCTCCCCGTTGACCACCAGCTCTACAGCGTTCCAGTCTGGTATCTCTTCCAGAATAACCTGATGTCCGTCTGACTGCAGGACAGCTGAAAAAGGGTGAAGAAGCAGTGACCAGTACTGTATTTGCCTGTTTTCCTGTGAACTTCGAGTATATCTAAGTTTTAGCACTTAGGAGGGCAAGGAGCAAAAAACAGTGTTAATGTAGTTAAGTGCTGTACAGAACTCCCCAAAAATCCTATCAGCTTTAATGTCTGGCTTCACTATTATTACACTAATGGATCTCCTTTGAATGAAGCCTCCACCCTCTGTCATTTCTAGTGCCAGCGGTAAAAGGCAAGAAATTCATTATGTACTTGTATTTGCTATTAACTGGCACAGCAGCTGTAAGAAAAGCAATGTATTTATTTGTAAGTACCATGGAATAAGACTAAATTCAAAAGAAATCTCTAATGAACGTTAAGATGGTGCTATAGAACAGCTGGAACATAAGTGAACAACCTTGATAACCCAATTGTTCGTTGATGCATAATTCATTTTGCTTCTGCTGAAATAGTAATTCCTTAGGATGTTAAAGACTTGAGGTTTTGTGAAGCTGAGAATCAAACCAGAAGGGACAAAATCCTCTCTCGACCCACATATTTGTATAGATGAATTAGGTGCTTTTTGGGTTTATTATGGCACATTGTATAGTTGTATAATGGGGAAATAAGAGAACTGGGTGATAATGCCATTCCAGCAACACAGGAATAACGTGCTTCTGTGTGGGCCCACATAGATTTAATCTTTTTTAATTCATCCTATTCTATTGACTTGTTTTACAAAGCAGAAGTAGATTCCTGTATAGTCAAACACTCAGGGTCTCACCTTTCCACGTGTTTATCACCTGTGTGTTAAGGCTGAGACAGCGTACTGACCAACGCACATCAGTTATTTTGGCAGGTAGAGGTACTGCTTCCTCCACCCCAGTTCTGCTGTTGCTGTATGACTTGCAATGGTCGTCATTTCTCAGACAGTTAACCTAACGGTGTTCACCTGTGACAGCTGTTTGCAACATTTTAATTTTTAACTTATTTTTAACTACAGAAAAAGTCTGATTCAAGAAGCAGCGTGCTGCCAGCTTCTGCTGCTGCTTTGTCATCCTCATCAGAGAGCTCTCGCTGCTTTCTAGGAAGCTTTAATGGCAATCTCTGACAATTAATTCACATTTATAAAACGGATGAAAGAGATGACATCTCTGTACTGCTGGCTCTAAATTAAAAAAAAAAAAAACACAAAACAACACCTTACTAGTTTTCCAAGGTTGAGGCTTGGTCTTTCTTGGTCCATGACAAGTTCATTGCAATGATCTAGCAACCCCAGTAAGAGAAACCGAAGGAGTTGCCAGTAGCCTATATATTACATAAACTCATGCTCTTCCTAAGTTTCTGGTGTCAACCAAGTAGTGATTTGTCTGGTACTGAGTTCATCTTTCTTTCTTTTTTTTTTTTTTTTCGACTCATCTATGTGACCTAATGCCCTTATAATCACAAAATTTTACTTAGTTGAATGCTTTAGATCACACACATATAATTTGATTTGTCTTGCAACCTTAGATTAATTTTGCTAGGCAGAAATTTTTATTATGCATCCTCTTATAGCTGGGAAGCATTAGAACAGAGAACAACCATTCTAAAGAGAAAATAGACCACAGCAATCCTTAATTCACGATGAATCAGAAAAAAAAAATAGCTACACCTTCTTCTGTGAGTGGTACATCGCTGCAGCTTTCGGTATGGATAGTAAACTTCTGCAGTGCCAGCTAACTCCATAACACCCTGACACACAGTTCTTCTGCGTGATCTGTAGTGTGGCGGTCCCAGGCCCGGTGGCACTGCTCGGAGCCCCGCACCCTGCTCAGCTCCTGACAGCTCCGGCTGGAGCCCGGCGGCAGGTGCCCTGCTCCCAGACAGGCACAGCTCCCCCGAGCCGGGGTACCCACAGCCCGCCTTACGTTAATTGCGGGGAATTATAGGTGAGCCGTGAGCAACAACAGTTGCTTTGTGCTCCCGAGTTCTTTGCTTCATAGCTGAATTCGAGCTTAGATATTTTCATCTTTGTTATGAGTCTATTTCAGACTGGAAAGCCCGTGTTTTTAATGAGGTCGTGTAACTGGAAAAGAAAAATGTATACGCACTGTAATACAAGCTTATGGGGGCAAACATAAACCATGGAACCGTTTGAGCGGTGTATTTAAGGAGCAGCTCTTCCCTTTGTCGCACACATAACGCAATTGTCAGAGCCCCCCTGTGCGGCACGGACACCCGGCAGCACCGCGCGGCCTCAGAGAAACGGCA